CTCCCCGCTAAAAACAGAGGTATTCTGCAATTTACTGTCCTATCTACTGATCGAGAATGTTTCCCAGTCACTCCAAGGCAGAAGCCAACTTCACACGCTAGTAGCTACAAGACAGGAATCACACCATACCACCGGAAAAATCCCCCAGCTAGGTGGCTACTGCTAGGAAAGCCTCCCGACCCATCAAATTCCACGGTACCGTCTGACCTGGGAATAGCGCGCACAGCACTGCAGTTCCAAGAGTCCCAGTGATTCCCAATAGCCCACTGCTGCTTTGGAACCCTGGCAGCAGGCTGGAAGGTCCCCAGCGCGCTCCAGCCTCCGCGAAACAAAACAGGGGCCACAGAGTAGTACAGCCGTCTGAATGCCGGGGACGAGGCATCAGTTTGGGGCACCCTGGCAGCCTGTCAGGCGATGGCAGCTCCCCCCACCCTGCGGACTCACCAGAGCTGGCACCTGAGTCTCCCACGCCTGTCAGGAAGAGGCAATGCGAGGCAGGGGCCCTGCTTCCTGGCCCGCTGCTCCGGCAGAGTCTGCCCTGATCCGGAGGAGAGGCGACCTGCTGCTCAGCAACGCCTCCTGCCCGCACCAAACCTAGGTGAGCCACAGCATTTGTTGGAAAAAAACCACAGCAGTACTTACTGGACCAGTAATTGCCGGGTTCTGCAGCCTGGGGTCTTCCCACTGGGTAATTTTATTATCTGTAAATAACAAAAGAAATTATATCATTACTTCTCTGCTACCACACTGTGAATTTATGTTGTGTTTTACTCCCTACAACTGTTTTCCCTACCGTTTCCACAACTTAGGATTTAGGAGTATTTCAGGGTTAGAAAAGGCTGCATTCACCCATGTACATCAAAACCCCATCACGCTGTTTAGTTCAAAACATTCATTCAAAAATGCAGAACTACAACAGAATCCAGTGTATTTACACTGCTTTTATTTCAATGTCTGTAGTAGTAAACATGTCCTATTTGAACATGGCCTTGGATTCGACTCGTATTAGAAATACGCAGACTTCGTGCCTGAAAGGTAAAGGACCCCTAAAACTTTGTCAAATAGCAGACTAAGTTTACTTTTTTGAAATTTTGCATAAAGATATCCAAAATTTAATACTTTAAAAGCCAGCGTATATTTAAATTTGGAGGGAATAATATATATTTTAAAAAAAAGTCCTAGACAGTGATTTAATGAAAAGGTTACAGGACCATTAAGGGAGGCAAAATTAAACAGTTATAGTGTAAAAGATCATGCAGTTTTGACCAAAGGAGATTTTGGTAGTAACACGACAGAATCTAGTTCTTTTCATGTACAGTTTTTAAAAGCACCAGGAGGGCGGTGCTTTTGGTATGGTATGGTAAGGCTATACAGGACCATGGTGAAACGCTCCCTGCCTCCAGACGACTGCTCCTCACAAGATCCTGAACACAACAGAATCACAACAAAATGATGATGTTGCAACAATAAGACAATGCTCCAAAAACCAAACTAGATGCCATCCGCAATGGCAAGGCTTAAGTCATCCATTTCCTGCTCTGAAAGGGTAATAACAATGCATCTGTTTGTTGCATGCACCGCTTTGATTTATGAAGTGTATATTAAGATAGCAGTCCAGATTTTACTTTTTGTAGTTGCTAGGTTTGGGAATAAACAACCTGAGTTTCCCGAAAAATGTTTTTATGGCCACTCTAAGTAAGAGCAAAGAACCAAACCCACTTATATTAACACACAATTATTTTACATGTTTCTACAGCTGGAAAAGACCTGTAAGTTTTGAGTATTGCAAGGTAGTTTTAAAATGGACTGGGATTTGAAAGGCGACATTCATTAAATGTTAACTCAAGAAAATTCAAAAAGATCACAAGCACATTTCAAGAAATTTGATCTATCAGTTAATTTAATAGTAAAATACTATTTTATTTCCCTTTGCGTATTAAGGCTATTTAGTGCTTACTGAAATTATGGAGGAAGGCTGTTAAGACTGGCCGCTCCAGAAACAACATGAGATCCATAGACCAGATACGGCCATAGAGCTGTAATGCCAAATCTGGCCCTTCTCATCTAGCTTCAACCTCTTCAGTCAAATTTCTTTCTACAAAGTTTACTGGTTTTATATCAGTTAGTGACAGTTACTTCAAACTGACAGCCACAAATCAGGGTAGTAATTTTCTACGAAATCAAAGATAATAGAACTGGAAATGACTGCAAGTTTCTCAGTTCTTTCTTATTGCCCTACATACTTCGAAGTGTACAATGTTACTGTCAAATCGTTGTCGAATTTTTTTTCCAGAGTATTACAGTGACAGGGACTTCATATTATAAATGCTGTTCCAGGGTTTAAACGCCCCAACAATTAGAGGGGTCTAACCTGAAGCACTCTACCTGGAATTGTAGCTCAAGATTCTCTGTCTTATCCACAGTGGATGTGGATGACAAATGAATTCCTTTCGCAGCACATTTTTGAAAATCTACAATCTCTCTTGAGTCTTCACACAAATACAATACTCTCTCTTTCCTCATGAATCGGGCTCTAGGGCCTTTGAGGATTCCCTGTTCTCCTCTGTTTCCTTAGGTCCCTTTCCAAGTGGTCCACTATTTTTTTTATGTTTGGGACCCCATGCTAGATATATTATTATCACAGCTGATGAGAGTAGAAGGATTACTTCAGGTCTTATTTAAGACACTCCTGTTGATACATCACAGGATGAGTTAACTCATGTTGAGATGATGATTTTTTCATGCCTTATTCAACAAAAACTCTGCTCATTATTCCCATTCGGAGTAATACTTTGCAATTAATACTAAAGAGCATCTTACTTCACACTACGGTGGCAATTTGCCAGGCTCATTCTGATTTCTCATCCTGTTCCAGTGAGCACCTCTCACCTCTCCTACACTGTTGTTTTTTGCTGAACTAATGAGTACGTTCCCCCTAAGTCATTGTTCAAATCACTAATGAATATATTGAAAAACGGTGTATCCGAGACAGACTTTGAGGGGAACCCATTTAATATATCCATCCCTCTGCCAGTGAACCACTGATAAGTGTTCTGCATATGGTTAGGAAAAATTTTTTTTTTCCTTCATGATTACCTTCCAACAGGTAGAGAATTTTTCCTACAAGGCTCCTAGAAGATGCAAAAGTATATGCAGGCTACAATGAACAGAGCATACTATTTTATTCACGGATGGTAAATAATGTTGACGTAGCTAGCTAAGGACCAATCATGGAGAACTAGAGAGTGTATTTTTTGTTAAGAGATTGAGCGTTGCAGAAATTAGAACTGTTTACAGTTAAAATCTAAAAAATACTGTATTTCTAGGCTACTATGTTACAAGTAATACCTAAATTATTTTAACAGTACATTGCTTTACTAGTTTATACGGCATGCTTAAGAGCAGTTTGTATTGGAGGTTTCTGTGCTGGTTGCATTAGATGTATTTACAGTTTCTCTCAGGTATGAGAAAAACATTTCAAAAATAGGACAACAGTATTGGATAATTATACAGAAGAATGACAAAATCTGGCTGGGGAACCAGGACATTAGAGCAGCTGAATCTGTTAAAGCTTTCAATGGTATTCTAAAATGAAGCCGCCTACATTTGTTGCATCTTAACTAATCGCTTCAGCTGAGGAGGACTGAAGTGATGGCCAGCTTATCACAGGAATGGACTACCGAGACTTGCGTACTTAGGGTGAGCACAGCTGGTCGCGCCCGCGACTCATTTGAGCGCATGCTCTGATGGAAAGTGAAGAGTCGTGAAACAAGGAAGAGTCAGCAGGCTCTGTCACAATCCTATCGTTATGGTCAAATGTCATCGCACCTCCTCATCGATACTGTGAAAACAAATGCTACTACTGAGATTGCACTGAGCACTGAATGCTGTTTGCAGCCATTGCCTAAATACTGAGCACAACACAATCACAACGGAGCTGCAATGTGTCCGCTGTAATACCGCTGGCATCACCTCTGCTCCGAGAGTCCGCTTGTAATTGCAGTGGTGTGGCACCAGACTGAGACCAAAAGTATACTTGCTGGAAACAAGCAGCATTATTAAATAAAAAAACAACCTCAAAACTTTTGTAAAAACTGCGATCTAAAAAGCTAAAAAAACCCTCAGATCAAAAGAGGGACTAGAGAGAGATTTCGGATGCAAAGAAGTGTAGTTTTATATCAATTACAAATTCTTTGGGGAATTCTAATTAATGTACAACTTTAACATTCCATTGATTTTTAGAGACTAATGCATGCTTAAGTAGATTTAGAAGACTGAAAAATTAAAACTTTTTAAAGGAGGTTGGAATGCTCAACAGTTATACAGGTATTTTGAATGAGACAGTTTTATTCTGTGACTCTTCAGTGGCAGCAGTTTAGAATAATTTGCCAGATTTAAGTTTCCAGATATCTGTTGGGAGAAACAATTATAGAGGGCAAAAAGACTAAGACTTCTGTACTGATGTTTGAAAGAAGTTAATCTTGTGCTTGACGAGTGTATTATTTCTAATTTTTAGTTAAAACTATTTATGCAATTTCAAAATTCGTATTATTTTAAAGCCAGTCTTTTAATAATGATTTAATAATATCATATATACAACTACAGATAAGCATAGGAGTCAGCGTTACTGATACTGAAGGAAAAACATAATACTGTCAGATATGTATAATAGTTTAAGATTTCAATTCTTTAAGCTTTGTGTAGCATATGTACTCTCTTCTAATGGTGTTGAGAGTTATCTATTTCTGTGAAGATTATGCCATCAGTAGAAATCAGTAGAAATCTCTTACAAAGTCCAGCTGAAGTCTTTAGAAAAACCCAACAAAACAAAGAAAAAACCCAACCTTTCTGGGCTGCTTTATTTTCAAACAACAACAAAAACTCACACAGTAGTTCTGAGATGCTGTAGTAAGACAAGTCTACAATGAAACATCACTTACACTAGAACTTCACTAACAGAACTGAATAATATTAATGGGCTGGGTGCAGTTTAACATGCTATAAATAGGAAATAAGATCAGAATCAGCACTGCCACAAGACCTTCTTAAAGGAGAGGAAAGAGTACTTTTCAGTGCTAATTGTTCCACTGCCTATATATGGAGTTGTGGCTATGATCTTTTCTCATCTTATTTTCTATTCCTAGTGTGTATTTTAATTTATTAAGTGCAAATAAGCCATGGGATCATCAACAACAACAACGACGAATCCAAAATATCAACAAGAACAAAAGAAACCACAAAGAAGAAATGTTAATGCTTCACAAGTCAGAGAGGGACAAAGCTTGATGAGCCAATTAAAAGCAAGCTTTCAGTGAATATACAGTACCGTACGAGGGCACTAAGTCTCTGGTATCAATGTCTCCACATATCAACACCTGGCTTCCTAAATGAAGAGTAAAATTATAAAGCTTTCACTTCAATATTTATTACCTCCCTTTGTCTATTTGCTGTAGTACCTGAGTGCTTACTTACTATGGTCTATATAAAACGTTCTTCCATCCAAATGTATCCTTTCCTCCCAACCAGGCTGGAATTGGTAAATTAAAAAAAAAAAAAAAAAAAAAAGAGAGAGAGAAAATAAGTGAAATACTACCACTCTCACACAGCATGAAGCAATACATTATCCACGCCTACTTAAACTGTCTGATAGATTCTTGTGAGGTAGAAGACACAAAATGATCACAGATGCATTATGTCAAGGGCAAAAGTCTAGGAAGATTCAAAGAACTGGCTATTTATACAGGTAACTGTATCCAATACAGTAAATGTTTTTTTTAAAGCTTGGAAGTGGAAACTTCTTCCATCAGGGTTTGTACCCATTTCCTACTACGAGGAAACTATCATAAAGAATAGACTGTCCATCACTGGTTAGGTTTGAGAGTTTCTGCTTCTACTTCTGAAACACATGTGGGTTATTCACTGTAAATATGTAAGTCAGGATCCCATTACAGGTGGACAAGAATGTCTAAACTAATCCTCAATTATTCCCTTTTTATCCATTCCCTCTTCTCATCTTCCAAATGATTACAGTATAGAAAAGAGAATAAACGGCACACTTAGTATATGCAATGCTGTTCAGTCTAGCGCTCATTCCACCTGGATGCTGTAAATGAGCTTCAGATTCTATACAAGATAGATGGTAAATGATTTAATTTCAGTCTTTTCTAAGAAACTCTTGTTAAATTCTCTAGTCATTCTTACATCACTCAAAAATGGATTAACTGATTTTAAATCTGTTACTAATTATACATTTCCAGTAATGTACGTCAGACTATCTTGATTTCCCTGCATGTTTTACTCCCTTGCAGTGATCTAAGCAATGTGTCCTCCAAGATTAATGCATGCTCAACGTGTCTGAAAAATTGCAAAAGAACAGCTACTTCCACAGCTGCTTTCTTAAAGACAAACTGCATTACTGCTGTGTTGTTACCAGGAAATGCATCATAATAAATACGTTCAACTGCGCATAGTTTTCAGTATCATCAGCGATTCAAGACACTGGGCCTGGCAAATGGCCTAGCGTCATTTAAATACAAGGCAAAACTTTTGCTAATCAAGACAAGGGCAGTGAGATTTTAGGATGGTTTAGAGGAGGATATCTGATCACAGGGGGTAAAAGAGTTTATCACCCCTCACCAAAGGTAGCATTTGTCACACTCGTGCCCAAAAGCAGCACCCGATTCAGTCTGCCGGTAGAGTGTTTCACCTAAGTAAACTGTAACCCAGCTCAGTGAAAATGAGTAGGATTAAAGACTCGTTATTCAAACTGTTTAAAACTAAAATAATTTAATCTGCCATGTCCCGTAGCGTGGGACAGTAGCCTCTTCTGCTGGCACAGCCGTTTGCAGACAGCTCGTCCATAATACATGCTGGAGCACTGAGAGTGCTGGTGACAATTAGTGGCTCATTCTCACTAAGGTTTCCAGTGTTGCAAGTACAATTTCAGCCGCAATTTTGCAAAAGTACGCTTAGTATATATGAGGCAATGAGCTGAATTAACAATACACTGTGAAAACCAGCACCCCAGAAAAACTGTTAGCTTTCATAGACTAGTCTCTGCCATCAAGGCTACAGTTTTTTAAAAACAAACCAAAGCTCTGTATTTGACATGGCTGTAAACCAGTATTATACTTTGGCTACAAGTATGACAAAATTTCTGATGTTAAAATGATAATTTTCTCTGCAGACTGTGGAAGTTTCATTGAAAAATCAAACTTTATTTAGATTTCTGAATGCCAATATGTGCTGGTACATTGATAGAGCTCGCTTTGAATAATCTGCTCCTTGTTTTCCTAAAGTAACAGGTAACTATCTAAAAGCACACAGTCAGAGATAAAACCAAGGTAAGTTTCTTCAAGCTCAATGCTTCAGATAAGCAAAGAAACATTCAATCATTTCAGAAATACTATGGGCTGGCTTTGAAGAGCCTGACTGATTCACAGATCACAATAATGCTTTCTGGTGCTATATAGAAACATAGCTTTAGTGTCTTCAGAAAACTGATGACAGCAACATATGTGTCCACATACAATATATGACTGCAATAGTAGATCAGACGACATAAGATAGCAGGTATGTATTAAAATACATACACACTATCACTTACAGGAAGAGGGCCCAAATCATTAGGGTTCAAAGATGCTTTTGATCTCAAATGTACTGGAAATTTCAGTCGTGGATCCTCCTGTAACAGAAATATGGGACTGTAAATCCGACAGATGAGGTCAGATCTATATCCTAAATCAAACACAGAATTATCTGGAAAATAAATCCTCTTACGTTACAGTTATTCTTTTATGCCTTTTTTTTTAGAATAAAACATACAAACAAAAACATATAAAAGTGATAGAACATTTAGTATTTGGATGTGTCACATACTTTATTAGGATTCAGATATTGAAATGATTTTTATAAAGTTAAGAGTTAGTTAGGGTGATGTAAGACTTTGACTCTATTAAGTGTGCTATATCCAGAGATACACTTCAAAAAACACAGCACTGTTCTTTGGAATGCATGCACTCCTGTGAGTGGCATTTAGATACATATGCATGTTTTTGGCTCTTAAAAGCGTTAAGAGAAATAAGCCATCTCACTCAAGGCTCGAAAAGGATGAAAATGAGCTTCTTACATTCTTATTAATGCACAGGTATTATTACATCAATGTCCAAATAAGGCAAAAAGGGGCAAGAAAAACAGGTCACAGAAGACAAATTTAGACAAAAAATGCTTGTGATTTCCACACACATAATTTACCCACATGCACCTGGATCACCAATACGAACCACCATGAAAATACGTCATGTAACTAGTAGTCACTGGGAATCTGAACGATGCCTAACAAATTAAAGTGCAACTCTTATTTCAAGGGTGACGTGAAATGCTGGGTTGTCTTTGACATTTTTACCTAATGTAATTTTATTTCTTCAATTCGTTTACTAAAATTTCAGAATTATTCACTGAATCATTAAGGTTGGAAAAGACCTTTAAGATCGTCAAGTCCAACCATCAACCCAACACCACCATGCCCGCTAAACCGTGTCCTGAAGTGCCAAGTCTACATGTTGTTTGAACACCTCCAGTGATGGCGACTCCACCACCTCCCTGGGCAGCCTGTGCCAATGCCTGACCACTCTCTCAGTATCCTGGTTTCAGCCAGGATAGAGTTAATTTTCTTCACAGAAGCCAGTGCGAGGCTGTGTTTTGGACTGGGGATGAGAAAATGTTGATAACGTGCCGATGTTTTGAGTTGTTGCTAAGCAGTCAAGGACAGTTCAGCTTCTCGTGCTGGCCGGCCTGCGAGGAAGCTGGGGGTGTACGGGGAGCTGGAGGGGACACAGCCAGGACAGCTGACCCAGGCTGGCCAGAGGGAGGGAGATTCCATACCATACGGCGTCGTGCTCGGTATATAAAACTGGGACGAAGAAGAAGGAAGGGGTGGGGGGACGTTCGGAGTTATGGCGTCCGTCCTCCCAAGTCACCGTCACGCGTGATGGAGCCCTGCTTCCCTGGGGATGGCTGAACCCCTGCCTGCCCATGGCAAGTGGTGAATGAATTCCTGGTTTTGCTGTGCTTGCGTGCACGGCTTTTGCTTTGTCTGTTACACTGTCTTTATCTCAACCCATGATTTTCCTCACTTTTACTCTTCTGATTTTCTCCCCTGTCCCACTGTGGGGGAGTGAGTAAATGGCTGTGTGGGGCTTAGTTGCCGGCTGGGGCTCAACCACGACACTCAGTAAAGAAATTTTTCCTAATATTCAGTCTAAACCTCCCCTGGCACAACTTGAGGCCCTTTCCTCTCGTCCTGTCGCTGGTTACTTGGGAGAAGAGACCAACCCCCACCTCACCACAACCCCCTTTCAGGCAGCTGTAGAGAGCGATGAGGGCTCCCCTCAGCCTCCTCTTCTCCAGACTGAACACCCCCAGTTCCCTCAGCCGCTCCCCATCAGGCTTGTGCTCCAGACCCCTCCCCAGCTTCATTGCCCTTCTAATTGAAAAATGAATCCTCATGACATAAAACAAGTAATAAAATTGATTCTGTTAACTGAAGAAGTGAACATACATTGTATTAATGAAAAAGCAGGGCTAGTCACAGTAAAATACAATAGTATTATGGACAATCTCGAACTAAACAACAATCCAAGTCTCCATTGCACTGTATGCCTCTAAATCCCAAATTCGGGGAATTTAAAAGACAGTAGTTGTTTGCAATGATTTGTCAAGTATAAAAAGGTCAAATACAAAATGCAAAACAATATTGCCTGGTGTATGATGTACAAATGCACCAAAATCTAAGAGGATACAAACGAGCAAGTTTCCTTTCTCTGAGTGCAGCAATAGCAGCACTATAGTAATTTTAGAAAATTAGCTACTCACATCTATTGCTACTGTACGTGACTGCATGGAGGATTCAGTGAGATTCCTACATCAGTTTTATAAAAAGTTAGGCTGACAAACCCCCCCTTAAAGACATGGCAAATGCCACAATAAAATACGTAGGCAGGAAATCACAGAGAGAAACATTTAAAAGATGGCAACTGTTGTAAAAATAATTATCTAGAATTTCTCTTACCCACGTAGTAGTTTTAGTATTGTGATCAATGAAGAAGGGCCTGCCATTGGGTGCTATTCGCATCTCCCAGCCAGGAGGAAGGAAGCTTTGTGCAACTTTGTGTTGTGGTTTAGGAGAGTTGTAAGGTGAGGGCTGTGGAGACTGCGGATTGGAAAGGGTGTCCTTCACCGCTCTGCGCACAGGAGAGTCCTTGATACCCTGAAGAAAATGAAAGATATCAAGATTTGTCAAATGTCACTCAAAACTGTAAAATGAATAAAACTTGGTATCACAGCAAATAGTTTTTCATTACAGATGTAATTAATACTAGAATTAAGTGCTGGGACTGATTTCCTAGACTCAGCTAAATTCTGCTCCTTATAATATACTGAGCTTTTTGCTGTGAAGGACAGTGTTTTATCACTTCCCTCTGCAATGATAAAATCCGCAGCATTTACATTTGGTTATATATTTTACTGCACCTGTCCTGTACATGTCAATATTTCATTTTACAACGGAAAAAATAAAAACATTGCTTCTTGCTTCATGGTGCAACGTATCTCACTTTAGAACAAGACAGCATCCTACATGTGAGGCAGTTATCCACATGTCAATGCCATTTCTCAACTATAACTTCAGAGAAAGCATTTACTATGAACTTAAAACAAGTTCCTAAAATAAATGGAGGTTTGCAATTACAGATTTGGACATTTTTTTTTTTTACTAAATGATCACAGCCACAAAACTTCTCCACTGATCAATGCCCCTTGGTTAAAAACAGGAGGTACGAGACTTTTTTTTTTTTAAATTTCAATGGGAAACTGCAGGTTTAGATGCCTAAACAGCTTGAAAAATTTGATCCAGATGTACTCACCTTTGAAAATACAGACTATCACAACCAGAAAACAAGACTTAAGTGCTGTATTTTTATCTTGTTTGCATTTGTACTTTTCAGTTACTTTCCACAAACATGCTCTCATTAGCTGATACAGCAGTTTGTTTTCCTCTGGTTTTGCTAATTATTAAGATTCAGTAAATCCACTCATGCTTATTTTGGCAATTCTCTAACTTAGACTACATTTAACCACTACTTTTTGAGTATTATATTAGAAAATGAGGCATCCACAGGAATATTTACAAAATCATTCTAGCCTTATTTGTGGCTGGTTTTGAGCTGCAGTTGGATGGCAAATGTAGTTAGATTACAGTGTTCAAAAGGAGCATTTAAAATAGCTTGCATTAAATAAAACCTTTCCATATGTCTGGTACACAAAAAAGTTGAACATTTTACAATAAAATAACTATTTAAACAAAGGAAGTAATGTCTAAAAAGTTGAACTCTCTTTTTCTTGTAGTTATCTCCTTTAGGATTTTAATATTAGTAAATCTACACCTTAGCTTTTAAATAAAAAAAAATAATCCAGAGGTGTGTGTAAGATGACAAATTTGTGCTCTTCAACACCCTTGTAATTTCTGAGCATTGAATAAACTAACCACCGAGCTGATTAGTTGAATATTCTGCAGTGAAGAAAATACTCGCTTTGTAGCTATGGAATAGGTTATGGCATTTAAAAGCTATCACCCTGAGAAACTCAAGTTTCAGATGTTTAGTGAGTGACTTCCACCAGCTCAATCTTTAAAATGTCAGTAGGGAGAGGAGTGCTCTTAATGTTTTAGTTTAAGATATTAAGAAAATTTTAATTTAATTTATTTAAATTACACTAAAATTGGTCTTCAGAATTAACAATGACAAGGGTACTTTTAAGTAGCTCATTGCTAAAGTGTTTATCTGAATTACATATAAGTAGAGATAATTTATTTTAAATATGAACTGTAACTACAATCTGTCCAATAATCCTGCTCAATAGTTTGAGTACTTTTCAGTATAAGGAAGAAAAAAGAATGATGCATAAAATGAACTAAACATTACAATCTTCACTTGATTGTTGGCAAACTTTTGCAGTGGCAAAAGGGACAGAAATAGGAAAGACACAGTGAGAGAGAAGGACAAATAAACTACGATACTTCAAGACTGAAGAAGAAATTTTTAAGAACTTACTCTCCTCAATACAGACATATTTAACTGATTCAAGTTTTAATCACGCTTTCAGAAATAAAACACACATTGTCTTTGACTGCATAAGAAACCACTTAAATTATTCTTCAGATATGCTGCAGTGAACATCATTCAACAGGATTCTGAATTACTTTTAAAGATACTTAAAAGAAATTAAACACCCTTTTGAAAGACAAGGAATATAAAACATAATCAGTATCTTAATTCAAAGATTTCCCAAACTCAATTGCATGTATTATTTTCAAAGTTATCAGCATCAAAATAAATGTTTCAACTTAAAAAATTATTTCTGATTTTATACATTCATAACACTTGAAGGGAGTCACAACAACATATGTTTCAGAGATGCACACAGATTAAGTTTTAGCTGACCAAACCAAATAATCATACATAAAATACATCACTCAATGACCACAAAAGTTAAGTAATACTATTGTACGATATAAAGATCCACATGGAAAACTGCTGAAGAAAATTGCAATATATTATGGCAAAACCAATAACTGGGACAAGGGGCTGTACTGCACAACTGAAAAGGAAATTATAAGTTGCAAGGACAAAAAAGAATAAGAAGTCAGACATAAGTGATCTTTCTTGGTAGCAGCATTTCTCACCTCGAGTGGAGCAGATAAAGTTACTGTGGGTGAACTGAGGCTACGAGGCCGTCTTATCTGGGGTTCACTTAAATGGTTGCTGCTGTTTGCTGTTGACCCAACCATGCCATCTTCTGCAAGCTATTTCAGAAGCAAAACCAAGTTAGCAAGTTGTCAGAGTTCATCCAGAGTTAGGACAGTTAAAAAATGATGTAATTATTTCTTCTTATAATTATTATGAAATATTTAACACACTTTCTTAAAGATAAAGTACTTAATTCCACTGGAAGAGCAAATAATGTATGGTTCTATTAACAGATCAACACAACATTAAAATTAAATCCTAAGAATGTATTTGCTTCCTTTTGGTAGTTCATATGTACCTCTCTGTAAATTCCTTCCATTGTAGCCATCAACTTAATCTGTACCTTAACACAGCTAAAAGTAGTTACAAAAAAATCCCAGTAATTGCAATTTTTTATGATTATCCTGCATTGTCATGACTGAAATTACACTCAATACATGCTTTGTGTCCGCTGTCTAAATTGAGCATTATACACATCTTCATACCTGCATAATAGGCCGTGTCCATGTCGTGGTTCGATTGTTATGATTGACATAATATGTACGGCCCTTTGCATCCTTTCTTTCTTCCCAGCCTGAAGGTAAGCCTGGTGTAGTATGTACATAGGCCACTGAAGGCTGTTCAAGCAAGAAATTACTGTATTGTTATTTTATAATAGCTAAAAAAAAAATATTCATAAGTCCGTTTAGAAAGAAAACTTGTTAACTTACAACATTCTGAAACACAACATAGATATAGAAAAATATGGTTTCTGATTTCATTTAATATAAGCTCTTTTCATGCACCTTTGAGTAATTTTTTTTTTTCTCATCATATATCTTTTGATTCACTTTTGCACAGAATCCGGTACCTTGTTCAGAAAAGAGCTAGGCTTATATGCCCTCAAACTTTTTCATTTTTAGATTACAGGTAATGACTAAAAGGAACTTTGTGTTTTAATGATTTTTCCTTAAAAAGGCGGATGTTTTTCCCTCTTATTAGTATGGATAAGTAAGAATTGAAGTTACCATGCAGTCGAGTCAAGATCCCAAGTTCTGTTCTTTTCTTTACCACAGGGTGTCTTGAACCAGTTGCAAGAAACTATTATGACTTTCAAAACTGAAGTTCAAAAATTTTGTTATAGTTATGTTTTTGTATATGTTACAAATGTTGTGTCTTCAGGACACCTAACCCTGAATGCAAGATACACCCCAAATTGGAACCCAGACTTCAGTGTGAAAAGATTTTATTTTTTTACTAGAATTTGCATAAGACAGACGTTGTTCTAAAGAAAGTATACAGGTAACGATAATGGTGCCAAAGGCACTAATTGTCATTAAACAAGTTACGTCACTATTCAACAGAACAATTATGTTATTCCGTGTTGCTGATGATGTCTTGTGTACTTCCTGTGAGGAAAATATTCAGTGCTTAAACCAACTGGACATTTTTCTCTGGGACATACAGAGCGGGGCGGGGGGGTGGAGTGGGGTGGGTGTGGGTGTGTGGCAAAAGAAAAAAGAAAAATAAAAAAAGGCATTGTAGCACAAACACAGCAAAGCTAGCTGTGTGGCTAGCCTAGAGAGGATTTATAACACTGATCCTGTCTGCATCCAAGTATGTATTTTAGAAGGGAGGATGCCCAAGGAATTACAGTTTTTAGACCATACACTCTACGTAAATCTACATGTTTATTAAGTTTAGTCACTGTCTAGTTTGGGACTCCTCTTCTCTTAAGAGATCACTTGCTTGTATAATGGATAAGAACAGGTATCCCGGCTGGCAATGAAGCAAACAAAACATTGGAATACGCGGGACAGGTGTTCTTCTCAAGCAATTGATGTAAATAGTAAGAGCTAGAGAGGTAGGGGAATTTCTGTCATTCATAGCAGACAGAAGCCAACTGCTAAACTCTGCAGGACAGTATTTTTGCTCTCTAATAAAGCCATGTATTAAAAATTGTATCAAAGACTTGGCATGTGCTTTTCAGTACCTATATCTAGATCTTTAGTTCAATATGCGTTTGGATTAATTAGTAAATTAATTGCATTAAAATATACATTCATACCTTAATTATCAGGAGACTATAATGCTAGAGATTGCTTCACTCTTTCACAATATCTGCCTTGATAGCAGAAGGATGATGAAACCTAAAGGTCTTCGTCACATGACAGAGTAAAAAACAGTGCTTGAACTGCACTGTCTGATCAATTTGTGCAGCACTTTAATTCATCATTGATAACAAGTCTTTTAGAAACAGGCAGTTTTGCAGCGCTAAGAAAATGAACCAAAACGCCTTCATCTAGCAGTCTGCTTTTACCACTTCCTCTGAGCAGGCTGTAGCGATGTACGTGGCTTTTTTCTTACGGATGTAAAATGTGAACTTGCTGGTCCTTAAAGGACTTCAGGTTTAAATGCTGACAGGTAGAACTGCAAACCAGCACAGCAAAGGCAAAACTTGAACTTTAACTACTGAACTTAATGTACTTGTTCACCTGAATATCAAATTTTTTGTCACGTTGCAAGTTCTTGAGCTGATATAATAGTTATTGCTAGTGTCCAGACTGGGAAGAAATGGTTCTGACACCTAAGCTAGAGAAAGGACTTCTATCAATGTCCAAGATGCAGAAAGCAGCTCTGGTTGCTGCCCCTCCCACCCCCAACGATCTGCTACTTAGAAGAAGCAGCTTTATGAACTCTTTTTAGACTGCCTGGAAAAGAGAAGCTTTTTACAAGACGTTTCCTGAAAGAAGCAAGATGCTGCATTGAAAAAAACGGTTTGAAGAAAGACATAAAGCCAAATGTCTGGCAACAGACAGTTACTGGATGCAAGGAGGGCAGATGGCTAAGAGAAACAGGCATACTATGAATTGTCCTTTGTTCTAAAGGTCAAATTACTCCAATGCTCGTTAATCCAATTCACCTTGCAAAGGACTACATATTTAAGGCAACTGCCTACTGCAGAAGTCAAAAGCATGTCTTTATTTCAGATAATAGTATTCTTTATGTTTAAAAACCCCACGATGACCAAAAAAACTTTTTCAGGTGGTAAGCCCCAAAATGGCAAGAATTCTGATTTGCAGTCATGCTTTTCTTTCACAGAAAACATGTTATTATCTACCAAACACGAAGGTGTATCATTTTCACTTCTGCAATTTCAGGGCATCTCATGGAGAATCGGAGAATCACTAAGGTTGGAAAAGACCTTCAAG